ATAAATGAGTAATCATTAAAATAAAATAGGACATTTTAATAAAAATTAATAATTTTTCTTGAACATTAACTTACCAGACCCTGAATAAGTGCACAAATTAGTAAGCGTAACGCGAATAAACCTATTTTTTCATGTTCTCCGAAAGCGAAATATTTCCTGTTGCGCACACCAAACAAGTCAGTACAAGACTAATGACGTGGCATCAGCTGCTAAAATATTCGCTGCTAGTATTAGTGGACAGAAACGGTGCGCCGGCGCGTAAGGGAAATGAATGCAGACACGATTATAGTAAACGTTGTAGTTCGTTACTAATGATTATGTATAACAGGATATTGTAAAAATTAAGTTACGACGTGTGGGTCCTAGCACACTCCTGCTGGGCAGTGGGTGACAGGACGTGCTTTTCTGAGTTAATGAGAGAAAACATTGATTCTTCCACTGCCCACGAAGGTGGAAAGTGCAGCGGGGAGACATGTGGGGAGTGAGCGAGCTGGTGCTCCCTAGTCTCAGCTACAGGAATTCAAGCCATTTCAGCACGGGCTGGGAACGGGAACTGAGGGCTCGCAGGGTCTACCCAGACCCTCACTCAGCCCTCTGGCAATTCGGCTTGTGTGTGCAGTGGGTCAATGGGTCAGAGAGAAGGGACAGCAAGCCTGCACTTGAACCCTGATCTTTTTGTTTAATAAAGTGAATTTAAAAAAAATTTTATTATTGATTTGAGAGAGAGGAAGGGAGAGAGAAACATTGATGGGCTGCCCTCTCGCACGTGCCCTAACTGGGGATCGAACCCACAACATTTTGGAATATTGGTTGAATGATGCTTCAACCAATTGAGCCCCACCATCAGGGTGGATCAGCTGCCTCCTGCAGATCTCCCACTGGGGATGTGCCCGCAACCCTGGTACATGCCCTTGACCGGAATCGAACCTGGGACCTTTCAGCCGCAGGCCGATGCTCTATCCACTGAGCCAAACCGGTTTCGGTGAAAAAAATTTTTTTTTAATTTTATTGTTGAGAGTATTACATATATCTCCTTCCTCCTTCCCCCGCCCCCCATTGTCCCCTCCCAGCCTGCACCTGCCCCCAACCCCAGCCTTCACCTCCCCCGCCCACACCCCCAAGCCTGGTCTTTTCTTGACTTCATCCCCAGCATTCTTCTGTGTCCCCATTTTCGGGACAAGTAAACAGAAACCATAATTCATAAATGGATCTGCAACAAGTATGTGGCAAAGTGAGGCCCAGGGGCAGGGCAGCCTCAGCTGCTGGCAGCCTGCAAGCGGCACCGGAGCAGGGGGAGGAGTGGCGGTGGGAGGACAGGGTAGGAGCCCCACAGATGCTGGACTCGGGAGCCAGGCATGTGTTCAGGCTGCCAGGCCCACCCCCCTCTGGGAACAGTGGGCTTCCAGCCCTGTTTGTGCTGCCTGGTGTTTTCTGAACCCCTCTCCCCTGCCTAAGCTCCCAGCTGGCCCCTCCTCTGCTGTGCCCCACTCCATGGAGCTCAGGGCAGTGTGACCGCGTCCCTCTCTCCCCAGGACTTCCTACGCTGTGTCACAGCGGCCCTCATCTACTTTGCCATCTCCATCACAGCTGTCGCCAAATACTCTGATGGTGCTGCCAAAGCGGCCGGGGTGAGTAGCTGCCCTACCCCTGAGAGGGGGGTGGCCAGTGATGCCCCCCTCAAGTTCACCCTAGCCCTCCTAAAGTCCCAGATGCTTCTTAGGACACCTGCTTAGCATGGTGCCTGCTTAGGCCTCTTTTTTTTTTTAATATTTCTTTATTGATTTCAGAGAGGAAGGGAGGAGAGAGAGATAGAAACATCAATGATGACAGAGAATCATTGATTGGCTGCCTCCTGCACACCCCCGACTGGGGATCGAGCCCGCAACCCAGGCATGTGCCCTTGGCCAGAATCGAACCTGGGACCCTTCAGTCTGCAGGCTGACACTCTATCCGCTGAGCCAAGCCAGCTAAGGCCCCCCAAAGGCCTCTTATTGGAGATCCACTCTGCCCCAGCTTTGAAAGGGTGTTTGCCAGCCAAATTAACAGCTCCTTTTCCCATTTGTCATTCATGGGAGGGGCCTGTGCCTGCCGATCTGAGCTGCTTGTTCAATCAGATAAGCAGGCGGTGAGGCTGGGGCAGTACCTCTCAGCCTCCTGGGCCAGGGACTCCCGTCCCGCCCACCGTGTCCTCTGTACCCACAGGTGTTCGGCTTCTTTGCCACCATCGTATTTGCCATTGACTTCTACCTGATCTTCAATGACGTGGCCAAATTCCTCAAGCAAGAGGGCTCTGCAGACGAGACCACAGCCCACAAGGAGGAAGGTGGGTGGCCACCCTGCGGGCTGGGGCCCCGCTCTCCCCTGGGGACACTTGACACTCGGCTGGTTTGAGGCTGGAGTAGCAGCGTGCCCCCTCTCCCCACGGGCAGGAAGTGTTTTCACAGCCTGGTTCTTGCATGCCTTCATGCAGCCCTGATCATAAAGCCGGTCCCCTCAGACGAGCACATGGCTCCCCAGGGCCTGAGCCTTTCCAGGAAGGGCAAGCGGAGGGCCAGCCTGGCACCTCCATCTCCCTTCAAGGGTCCCTGAGGAGCCCCCGGGGCAGCCAGTCAGTGGCTTCCGTTCCTGGGCACTGTGCACTGGGCTGCAAAGTGACCAGCGCCCCTGCAGTCTGGCCTGCCCCACGGCTTCAGTGCCAGGGAACCAAGCTGGCTCTCGGCCTTACCCGCAGCGCCCAGGCAAGTTCCAGCTTGTTCTGCTTTTTATCCAAGGAGAGTGCAACGGGCCTTCTGGTCCCTCCAGCCAACCTTCAGCTCAGAATGTTGTGCCATTACCTAATTTTAAAATAAACAGGTTGGGGGGCTTGCAGATTGGGTGGCTGGTTTTCCACCTGTGACCACACAGCCATGCCCTGTTTCTGATCGCAACGGCCAAAAAGAAGTTTCCTGATTTTCTAGTATAATTGAGTTTCTTAGATAAGAAAATGGTTTTCCCCACATTGTCCTGCTAAACTGTGGGGTAGGGTTGGGGTACAGATGTCCTGTCCTGACACCCCAGGTGAGAACAGCTCAGGGAGACTGAGGGCGCATGGAGCCCCAGAGGAAAGGGCATTGGGGCTCCCGCCCGCATTTGGCTGCACCGTGGAGGTGACAGCGGCTGCCTGCGGCGGGTCCCTGGCCCTCAGGCCGAGCAGACCCCACCAGTGGCACCGGCAGCTGCAGGAGGGGCCTGACTGTGCCTCCAGAGACGGCTCCGGGCACCTCCAGCCAGGAGGCTCCTGCCCAGCCTCCTCTTTGCTTTCTTTTCAGAAGAGGATTCCGACTCTGACTCCGACTAAAGGGCTGCCCGGCCCTGGCAGCCCGGGCCACGCGGGCCTTCCCTCCTGCACTTCCCACCGGCTGGCCGGCCGGCCGGCGCGAGGCCTGGGGACCGGGAGTGATGGAGGAAGGCTGTCACTTCTCCAGAGGAGCAGGCCTCCTCCCAGCCCCAAGGTGACGTTTCTGAGCCTACCTAACCGCTCTGCACAGGAGGGCAGCGTGAATGTCCCGCCACTCCTCGTTTCTGGCCCACAGACCGTAAGCCCTTTGACCTCTCTGCCGAAAATAAGCACAAAGGGACAAAGCAGATAGAGCCATTTGACCCGTCACAGGGATATGCATGCCAACGGGGGTGGATAGAGGTAACGGGACGACGGAGGTAAGGCAGAAACCACCAGGGGCCAACCGCCAGCCCCCCAGCCCCAGGGACCTTCATCTGCATTTGGTGCCCCTGCCCACGCCAGGCACTTTGTCGAGAATGATCCTTCCAAGGTTCTTTGGTTCAAGGAGCACCACTTCCTTCATTCTGTAAGCAGGGGGGAAGCTGGCCTTTGCCATGCCTTTACCTGCCTCCTCACACCCCTGGAAACCGTGACTCCTCCAAGGGACAGGACTATTGTGGGTCTAAGACCATTTCAAAGAAAAGCTCGTAAAGCGGCTTACCGGGTCCAAAAGATCAGGGGCCACAGGAAGGGACAGCGTCCGGGGTCGCTGGGCAGGCCCAGCCGGAGCCGCTCTGCCCCGGGGCCCGCCAGCAGCCACAGGCTTGTGGACGCTCGGGACCATGCGCTTCTAGACACCAGAGCAGGTCTCCCAACCACTCACAGGAGGTGAGACGTGCCTTCTGTGTTCTCCTGTGCTGTGTATATATCTTCAGTGGATTTTGTAACTTTATATAATTTTTTTATACAAAAGCAGCTTCTTAAATAGCATTTCCTGTGACCAAGAGGCCTTACGAAATGAGCCAGAGTTCTGGACCCATTTGGGAGCATTTGTAACTTTCGTTCTTCTCTTGCATGTGAATCTCCTCCCCTGAAAAAAAGCCATAATGAATTAAACCAGACTGACTACCTGCATGGAGTGTGTCTGAAGACCTTCCACCCCCAGAGTGATGCCATCCAGTATCAGCGTCGGTGCACGCATGCTCACACACACACGCACGCACACTCCATGCCAGGCACCCACTACGCTCTCAGGCCTGTGCTCTTACTTACTCCTCACACAATCCTGTTTGTAGGCCAGGAAACTGACAGAAGGTTCGATGACTTGCTCAGGTCACCCAGCCCCTTTGAGGAGGCCCAGGGCCTCAGTATTAGGGCACGTCCCACCACACCCCTCAGGCAGCCAGACCTGGAGTCCCCGTGGTTGGGAACTGGTTGCACAAAGGACCTCAGAATTGGAGCCTGAGGGCAGCCTGGCCAGCACTTTGGCCCAGGCCTATGGGAAGGAGCAGGCTTTCTGCCCCGGGTTACACACACACACACACACACACACACACACACACACACACACGTTCTGAGAATGTGTGAACGGTGAATGTGCGGTACTTTTATTATCTATAGAAAAATTAGTGAGATTATTAGATGTTTCCCTTTCTGCAGTGCAGAGGGCATCAGGAGACCAGAGCATTTTTACATGTCCATTTATTAAACAAGAACTCCTTCATGACAATTTAATACAATGTTAGCAGTTAGTGTTGAGAAAATTATTTCCCTCTACATACAAAAATACAGATTTGAACACTATGAAAACAATCAGGACAAGTACCATGAAAAATTGGTCCTTCAAAAGAAAAAGGGGGGACTGAGAGCAATGTGGGGCTTTGCTGTTGGGGACAAACCAACAGGAGCCAAGGCTTTGGGGCCCAAAACCACTCCAAGTGGGCAGAGTCCAGCCCCAGAGCCAGTCAGAGCGGGGGGGTGCCCACCCCAGGGCACCGTGGGCACCCGTGTCGGTTTGAGAAGCCAGGGTGGGCGCTCTGACCAGCCAACAGCATAAACCAGTTTACCACATGGGATCACCTCAGAACACCCCCCAGCTGTGTCTAAACTGTTAAAGGAAATAGGCGTTTACGAAGGAAAGTGTAATGGTTATTAAATTAACATGACTCCCCCAAAGTACCCCTGGGCCAAGTACCAATGAGTGATCACCTAGAGTTACTAGCCATCTGACTTGACTTCCTTTGTTAGAAAAAAATTACATATTCTGGCCCTTCAGAAAGGACAAAAAAGCTACAGTTTTGTTTCAGTAAATCCATTCCTTCATGTTGCAACGGCTCAACTAGTTTCCTCAAGATTTTTCGTGTCCTGCGGGGGTGGGGCAGCAAGAGGGGCATCTAGAGTGTGATCCTGTAGTGATGTCATCAAGCTCCTCAGAGCAGGGAGTCTGTTTTGTTCAGGCCCCAAACCCGACAGGGCCTCGAGCCTACCCAGGTCCACCAACCAATCAGATCCAGTGGAAGGTGAGTCCGGGACCAGCGGGCGGAGGCGGGGGTGTGGGTCCCACAGATGCAAGCAGCAAAGCCAGGCCGGCAAACACCCTCTGGTTCACTAGCCCCGGACAACGGGCCTTTCCACGGGCTTAGCCCCAGAGAAGGGAAGTCAGAGCACCAAGGACGCTGTTCTGTTCTTTCCCAGTGGAACCGTGTTCCTCTCACCGGGGTGAGCAGTGGCTCCCTCGACTGAACAAGGGGTTTAAAAAAATGCCCAGAGAAGATATACTGATTAAGAATTATTTCACAGAAATATACTCTTACTCTCAGACTGTTTAAATAAGCGGAAACAAGACGTGGGGGACGGAGCAGCAGAGGGGAGCTAGGAACAGCCAGGGGTGGTTTTTGTCTTTTTCTTTTCTTAATAATAGTATGTTTACGTGAAAGGTAACAAGCCGCAAAGCACGCACTAAA